CTTATACAATATTGAAGAGCCTTTCTCACACATACTTGAATATTGATACATTTTGTCACTTGKAACAGGTGCCTCTGACCTCAAACTCAACCTCTGACAGCTAAAGATGCTCATAATTTGGGRTACTCCTGCTGTTTAGCCTGTGAGTCCAGCCTGGCAAACACCAAACATCAGAAGCATCACCAGAAGCTCCAGAGCAAAGAAATTAAATGTCAGTTCCTCAGAAATGTTGAGTGCATCAAATACCTCTGCTGCTAGGAGTGAAAGACTGGCATAAAATTAAATATTCAGCAACAAGTGGCTGTAGAGAAACTAAATAGGAAAGAGAAGATAAAGAAACTGGAATACTAAGCAGAGACAATTATGATAAGCAGGATAAAGCACGTTAACAGTATTTTAGAAATATCACTCTTTGTTTAGAGGAGGAAAATACAACGCAGGTAAAGTGGTGACAACAATGAGTTGATAAAAATGTAAGAAAAGTAAGGTTGAAGCAAAATACTGAAAAGCTTGCAGGTAACGTATATATGTCTGATAAGGGAAGGAGGGGAAAAGGGAAGAAAAGATCTTTCCAGAGTACACATGAAAGATAAATGGTGCAGCAGAAAAAGCAAAAAGAGGGGGTGGTAGTTAATAAAGACTTACCTGAACGTTTGGGGTGTATATATTGTCTTTAAATATAACAAGGTTAATTATGGACAATTGAGACATCATATTAGAATCCACTATGTCGATAATGTAAGGCACCTTTACAGCATAACTGATTTTGATATATTGTTTTAATATGTATCACAAAGTTCATTTTCTTTAACACTAGAAATGAAAAGATAAATGGAGATGGTGATGTGCCAGCACCACAGCTGTATCTGGTATCAGAATTCAAGGCTGTATTTCAAACACAGACGATTCTTACCCTACCCTGTACAATTACCCCGGAGAAGTTTTGCAAAGGAAAGCAAACAGAATGGAACGGCTGGCGAAGCCTTTTGTGTATGAGCTGCCGCAGTGCTGATAAGGACGTGATTAAATGGAGCCGCTGTTGAATTTCCCCGTGGCGCAGTTGGACTCTGGCGTTTTCTCACACGCGAGGTGCTGCCCTCAAGGCCGGCCCAGCTGTCAGGGCTCCGGCCGCAGCAACAGCGGCACAACCTGCGCTTCCCTGGGCACCAGAAAAAGGTCAGAATAAACCCACACACACTTTACCTCAGAATTCAATCTCCCTGCTCCTATGAGCAACTCCTTGTGACATCCTCTGAGAAGACCTCATGGTTAGCTAAGGTTAAAGCTACGGGATAGCAGCAGGATCTCATGGCCGACACAGTATAACCACTTCTATTACAAAATCAGTATCAATTGATACCCGAGCTTCTATTTGGGCAAATTTAGCTATTGAGCTCTGCGGGAATCAGAGCAGCCCCTCAGGCGAGAGGGGCATCAGCCACCTGTGCGGCCGCGGGGGAAGCGGGAGATGGCATGGAAAGCCCGGGCGGTACACGCAGAGCCGGGGGGGCACGGAGAGAAGGGGGTCGGGG